AGGGCTAAGTTGCCCCGTGCTTCCATCCGGCGGGTTCTGGCAGTGCAAGCGGCAAAGGAAGAACACAAGAAAAGCACTTTTAACAAACATAGTCAGAAATAATAGCACTTTTTTGTTTTATGTGTCTGGGTTTGTTGCCGGGCTGCGCTGCCAGCCTCAACCTTGGCTGGATTTCTCCAGCCAGACTTGAACTTGGGGGGTAGTTGCGGCTTCTTGCCGGAACGCTTGGGGTAGAGTCTCACTGCAAGTCTAGTGAGCTTTCGTGGAAAATTATCCGTCCTGCCGTGTGTTTGCAAACCATTCCGGCTAGCCTGTTTTTGTTTTCGCTTCCCCTCACTGCCTGCCGCCAGGCTTCTGCAGCACAGCCGCAGCGCAGAGACAGGGGCGACCGAGTAAAAAGGAGTGTAGTAGACGGACTTATTTGAATCCCAGCCCCGTGTTTAGCTAGCATCATGCGTGATAACACGCATCACACGCTCATTGCCGGACCCCGGACCAATAAAACGGTTTAACCTTGCACATTGCTGGACCAATATTAAGTTATTAGGGTTGCTCGTTTGCACATATTGCCGGACCAATGAGGGTTTAACTTTGCACATTGCCGGACCAATGAGGGTTTAACCTTGCATCCCCCAGAATAATCTAATATTTTTCGCCAAGGGCCTGTGGCCATCCCAGTTCATGTTTTGCTTAATCTTGTAAACTATTCTCAAAGGGACGGGCTCCTTTTGGGAAGTCCCAGATAATTGCTTCTAATTTTCATTTGCTTGATTAATTGCAATAGCTAGAAATGAGCGGAAGCTATAGGGCTACGGTTTTCGATTTCCACACTCATGTTGGTTCCAATGAGCCTAACCCTTCTAATTTTCCACAAAAGGCAGGCGCGCTAGTCTCTTGTTTTCCATGGACTTAATTGGAAAAGGACAGGTTCCTTAAGACAATAAGAATCCCGCACACGGTTAAAAGGAGCCGCCATACTTGTTTGATGAAACTCATTAAAGTCATCACAAATGTGTCATACGATTTGCTTACTGAGTTTGACAGAAAAAGACACCAGCGTGGTACAACTCATCTATATTCCTGAACTTAATGAATGTGATGGGAAAAGTCTCCAAAACTTTTCCGTTCATTAACGGGCCGCACTTTGCCATAAGGGGCCACCATTGTCTGATTAAATTCTTCGATCCCATTGACATATTTTACTGAGATTGGTTAATTGTATTATTACGAAAACTCATGGTTAGCCTGGAGGTTGCCAAAAGGAGCCATCATTCGTGTGATTAAGTTTGTACTTTTTTGGAGGGTGTCAACCGCCTCTCCAATAGCAGTGGCTTGCACATATCCCGTGACTTCTGTCTCCGTCGTGGATATCGTGGTGTACGCCGCCTGTCTTGTGGATTCCCACGCGATGCCTTGGCCACCACTTGCCCACAGGTTGCCCTTCAGCGGGTGAATCTTTTGACCCGCCAACCAAAGCTGGCCATGGTCTTATCCCTGTGGCAACCCCAGTCCTTGGGGCTTGTGTTCAGCCCACACAGCGCCTTCAGAACCAGCCACCGTTCTCCTTTCTTGGTGACCCAGCCTGCCCAAAGATCTTGGGCGGGGATACCACCAGCAGCTTCTGCCTCTGATTGGGCGCCTGCAGGAGCGCGGTCTTCACGTCCACCGTTCCAACCTTCCACCGCTCGAACGCCGCCTTGCGGAGAGTGGCCCGCAATGCTATGCTGTCCGCCCCTCCAGCGAACACCTCTTCCTTTGTTTCCTCCGGTCCTTGCCGTCGGTCATCAGCCACCAGGATGCCCATGCCAGCGACGTCCACCGACCTTGCCCTCCTTGTCCGCATGCCGGGTTCCATGTCTGGCCTTGTCAGGGGGCGTTTGGGCTCATAACCTATGTGCGCAGCACCGCGCTGTTTGTGTTCCTTGAGCCACGAATGTGCCCGCAAATTACGGGTTCACACAGTTCACAGTTCGAATTACTCTCCCAATGTGACTGGAGGTCGTAGGAGAAGCCCAGAGTCATTTTGTGATTGTGTCTTTGTAATGCTCGAAGTTCCAACCAAATCGTAGTTCCAACCAGTAGTCGTAAGAATTGGAAGCGTTAAAGCACAGGGGCCAAATAAAGCGCTCTGCTTTTCTATTTTTCTAGTGTTCCTTTTCCCTCGCGGAGATGGGGCGCCTAAAGGTTGGGGATTTCCAGATTACTTCGATAGCTCGAACCGTTCAGATCATTCTACTTGTTCTAAAAGCTATGTACTCCCAAAGGGACAGGTGTCCTTTGGATGATTCATGCTTCTAACTCTTTGAACTGTGTGCCCTTTGGAACAAGTCAAAATATGATTTCCTAAGTATGCATTTCCTACATGTGTTGCTATTTAATTCTGCTGCTTATGCTCTAATGGTTTTAATTGCCCCGCAAAGAACGGGGGCCTTGTGTGTAATTCTAGGTTCATGTTTGGTTTAATCTTGTATACTATTCTCAAAGGGACGGGCTCTGTTGGGAAGTCCCAGATAATTGCTTCTATTTTTTCATTTGCTTGAAAAATCGCAATAGCTAGAAATGAGCGGAAGCTATAGGGCTACGGTTTTCGATTTCCACACTCATGTTGGTTCCAATGAGCCTAACTCTTCTAATTTCCCAAAAGGCAGGCGCGCTAGTCTCTTGTTTTCCATGGACTTAATTGGAAAAGGATAGGTTCCTTAAGACAATAAGAATCCCGCACACGGTTCAAAGGAGCCGCCATACTTGTTTGATGAAACTCATTAAATTCATTACAAATGTGTCATACGATTTGCTTACTGAGTTTGACAGAAAAAGACACCAGCGTGGTACAACTCATCTATTTTCCTGAACTTAATGAATGTGATGGGAAAAGTCTCCAAAACTTTTCCGTTCATTAACGGGCCGCACTTTGCCAGAAGGGGCCACCATTGTCTGATTACATTCTTCATTCCCATTGACATATTTTACTGAGATTGGTTAATTGTATTATTACGAAAACTCATGGTTAGCCTGGAGTGTGCCAAAAGGAGCCACCATTCAAATTATCGCATTCGTGAAATTCTTTAAAACCCTGGAGCGTGCCAAAGGAGCCACCATTCGTGTGATTAAGTTTGTACTTTTTTGGAGTGTGTCAAAGAAAGCCACCAATTTTTGAATTAAATTCAGTGGCTTTCAACACAACTTGCGCAAGAATACCTTTTTCGATCACATCCACTAAGTTCGTTGAAGCCCAGGAGTGTGCCAAAAGAGGCTACCGCTTTCTTCATTAGATTCGTTCAATTGATCAAACGCACGAGATAGCTTAAACAGTTTAATCGCACCGGGGCCTTGTTTGATTAAACTCATCACATTCTTTACGGGGGTTTAAATTCTTTCATTCACCAAATTTTCCACATCAACGGTCTTAAATGAAAACGGCTTCAAAAAATGAATTCATTAAATTCGATAGCTTACTGAATTTGAGGAGCTTAAACAAACCCATGGTGGCCCCTTTTGCAAAGTCCATGGTTTTAATGAGTTCAACAAAGTTAATCAAAACATGGCAGCGGCTCCTTATGGCAATGTCCAGGAAGGTTTTTGCTGTTTTGAAATTAAACCACAACGAGTTCAATGAATTTAAGCAAAAATGGTGGCCCCTTTACGCAAGGTCCAAGATTTTCTGAGTTTGATGAAGCTACTCGTCGCGGAGCCCCTTTTCGGTTAAAAGATCATGAAACTCAATAAGTTCCTGGGCTTTGCAACCTCTTCGTTTCACTAAACTCATCACATTCATTGTTTGTTGTTAAAGAATTTAACGAATATGAATTTGATCCAAGAATGGGGATCCCTAAGGTCCAGGATTTTCCTGAACTCAATGAATTAATTCAATCGCTTTGGTGCCTTTTTTGATTAAATTTGCTTGGGTAGTTCAATGAACTTAACCAATTCAAGGCTTCTCTTTAACCCGTTAAATCCATTTAAATCCCGGATTTTGCAAAAGGAGCCACCATATAATTGATTAAGTTAAACTCATTGGAACATGTGTTCATGCATTTAATGTATTTGACAAACATGGTGGCCCCTGAACTCAATGATGCTAATCGTTTGGAGAATGTTTTTCGATTACATTCATTAAGCTCATATATCGTCATGAACTTAATGTTAACGCCATTAACTTCATTGAAATGATGGAGTTTTCAAAAGGAGCACCGTCATTTGTGGTTAAAATCTGTAAATTCATTGGTTTCATTGAAGCATTTTATTGAATTTGACTGTTATAAAACATATACTCAATCAATGGTGGCCACTTTTGGCAAAGTCCAGGGTTTTAATGAACTTAGCGGGTTTTCTCGTTGGAGCCTTTTTGACTAAATTCAGGAAGTTGCCTCTTTGTCTATGAATTTGACTAGTTTGACCGTATTTAGTCAATAAAATGGGGGGCCCTTTTAGCGAGCGTTTGGAGCTTCCCTCGGCTAAGCTCATTGAATTCATTTTTTGTTTGATTATATTCATTCAGGTTAGTGAAGAGCAGCTTCATGAATCGAATGGGTTTAATGAGCTGAACCAGCAAAATGTCGGCCCCTGTTGGCAAAGTCGAGTGTTTTCATGAATTTAAGGAACTTAGCTGGATAGAAATTTTCGCCCAAATTCAGCAAGTGTACTTGACAATTCAAGTAAATTGCATCAATTGAATCATTTTGCAGGCGTTTTGAGCTTGTTCAACGCCTGAAAACACTGCAACGATTTAAATGAAATATTTCAATCTAAATAGCACCGCTACGTGGCCTGGCAAAGGGGCCCGTCAAATGTTACATGCTATTCCCCCCACAGGGGGGGGGGCCTCCCTTCGGGGATGGAGGGGGGGTTGGTGGCCTGGGGACTGGAACTTTTATGTGCTCGAAAACCAATTTTGGGTTGGGCTCTGATCTTCTTATCTTAAATCCGTGGAAAGCCGTAGGTGGGTCAAAAATTGGTTTGTTTTTGGTTTACCTCTATACACTAGCTGTGGAAAGCCCGAGGACAAGCTGCCCAGTGTGGAGAGCCTCGAGGCGCACTTGCCGCAAGCGCGCGGTTTCGCACGAAGAGGTTACCAACGGCTACCAAACACGATTCGCTTTCTGGTGAGCAACGCGACGCACGAAGGGGTTCTGGTTTTTTGGGGTGCGAACCCAAAAACGAGGGGTTGAAACCCATTGAGTCAGAGGGCACTTCCGGCGTTTTCTCTTGGACTCTTTTGGCGGGCTGCGACAAGTCCCAACCCGGCTTGGTGTATTTCAAAGCTGTCCAGGGGCAACCCAGCAAAACATACGGCTTGGATTGCATATGTCTTCCTTCTCCTCCGGACCAGCCTTCCACCTACTTGGGGCTCATTGATATGCATCCGGCTGCGACGCACTCATTTGAGCATGCCCATGCCCAGTAATGTTTGACAATCTTCGTGTTTGAAGGGGGACAGTGTTTGAAATCTGAAAGCCTGCTGGTCAGGTATTGTTTCCTCCCTGCTTTGGTTTTTACATCGTTGCAAAGTCACCCTATCCATGTGCTCGATGCTCAGTACGCTATGCGTCCGCTGCTGAAGGGAATGTTTGAGTTGCGCCACCTGGTTTTAGATGGACATGTCATGGCCAAGGTGTCCAGTTGACATGGCGGCTTCCCGTGTTGGTTTTTCTTGGTCAAGGTTTGAAGAGGCTACGAGTGACCGGCTAATGAGTCTTTTTGCTGGGCTTCAGAATGTCATGAGCCTGGATGAGTTTACATTCCCAGAATATGAACGCCTGGTATGACCCCCTGGTATGACCCCCTGTTAGTTTTCCATATGGCTTTGTAGGGTTCCAACCCTCTCCAGAATCTCTGCAAAGGAGCTTCCCACAAACCTAGAGCCCCACTCGTGTTTATTTCAAGTGCCAAACAAGCGCTTCTTTCCCATGACCGTTGTTCATTTAAAGCCAACAGTGCCATTTCCTGAAGATCAACCTTCTTGCCCTGCCTGGTCAGTCTGGGTGGGGTAGGTTTGGTTTAACAACTCAGTTGCTATGGGCCCGACAATACAGAGCAGCCTAAAAGAGGATGTTGATACAGCAGTAGGTGACACATTGTTTAAGCAGGTGGCTGGCAACAGCATGACCCCTGCAAGGCGAGATGAAAGTGTACCAAAAAGGTCTCTGCTCGCGGGCGCGTTGGCAGATATAACAGGAGTCCCTCAGTCACAATCGGGGCATGCGTTGAACACATAGTGACTGGCAAGCCCATGCAAGTGCTATTGAGCATCTCTTTCCATTTTGCCAGAGCTGGCAAAGAAATAGGCTGTAAGGTCTACTAGGACATGCGCCAGGGAACCTGCATCCAGCAACACTGATCCGGCCCTTGCAGCAACTCCCAGGCCCGAGTTTACACCAGGTTCAGAACCTTCGTTGGAGACGGCTACTGACAGTGGCTGGGGCCGAGTTCGGCGGTTTACACATGTTCACACACATACACATACACACTTTCATGCCTACACAGGCCTTTAAGCACCAGACCGTAGGCTCATGGCAAGACATTTGGTTATTTGCGACACCGCCAGCCCGATTTCATGGCCAGAGCCTCAACGAGCTTGAGTTGCAGGGACCTGGGCCTTGCACGGAAAGTTGAGAGAGTTGAAGCAAAAGGCCAGCGCAAAGAAAACATTCGCCTTGTCAAATAAGTTGCCGCCGCCTGCCAGGACATTGACAGGGAATCGAACATTTGCAGAACTTCTGAAGCTCTCACAAATAGGGTGAAGCCCTACGTTTCTGCAATTACGCAAGCTTCGGAGAAAGAAGAGTGAACAGACGCATGTTGCGCTTGACTAGGGCCGAAATGGGAAGCCAGCAAGGAAGTGCATATTTTCCTGGACCAAGGCCAATCATACCGAATCTGCTACCTGTTCAGGGAAAGAAGGCCCAGTCATCTGTTGGATGATCGATCAATATGTGCATCGCACGCATGTGGTTACATGCGAAGAGGAGCGTGGAGCGGGATGAAAGAACATTCACTGTCTTTTTGGGTTGTGCTGGGCTCAGCAGAAGTGTATCACAGTCACGACTGCCTCAAGCACTTTGACTTTTGGCCCAGAGTCGAGCCCTTGCCTTGCGGAACGAAGAGGTAAAGGATGCCCATGCCCTCGACATGTTTGCCTTTAAGGTGATTAGAAGAGATGAGCAAATCCGGAGGGCTCAAGAATGATCTGTGTCTCTGCGTGGTTTCCTGGGCGGCGCTTGCAAAAACCAAGGGCTAGCATTCAAGTGGCATGTAGTTGGGCCTTCCAGGACCGGCTTTTAGCCTGGCAGGCGCGTGTGCAGTTCTGGGTTTGCGCGCTAGGCGCGGGCGCAGTGCTGAGCGGTGCGCTTGAAAAGCGCACTTCAGCGGGCGGCCTACCATTTGGCAGGCGTGTGTGCAGCGCGGAGCGGGTGCGCTTGGCGTTGGGAGGGTTGGCTTTCCGTCTGCCAGGCGGCTAGCGTTTGGCAAGCGTCCTAAGCGGGTTGAGCGGGCGCTCCAATCTTTGAAAGGCTTTATGTCTCGCCTGTCGTCTTAGTTCCCGTGGTAGCTTCTCCTTGTGCACTCCTTAGGCTTGCTTGCGTGCGCGAAGGGATGGGTTCTCTCTTCGTCATAACCTGTCCGTCGGAGAGCCTCAGAGGGTTTTCGCAACAGAGCGCGCAACTCAGCGGAGGCAGAGGACGACAGCTTGCAGTGCTGCTCAGGTGGAATGTTCCGAACGTTGTGCTTGCGCAGCAGGACGCGGAACGCTGGAGCAAACTGCCCGAATCTTTTGGTCCAGGCCGCCCGCTCGAAGGCGTTCATGGTCATGGACACGCACGTGGGGCGCGCGCCGGCAGACAACTAAGCATATCACTGTCTACTCTGTGCATGCCTCTATGCACTTCCACTCTGTGCTTGCTCTGCGCGTGCCACTCTTCACGCTGTCTACTTTCCCTGTGCATGCCTCTATGCGTTTCACAGTCTACTTTCCCTGCACACGCCTCTATGCATTTCACTCTCTACTTTCCCTGCGCGTGCCTCTATGCATTCCACTGTCTACTTTCCCTGTGCATGCCTCTATGCATACTATCCCTGCGCATGCATCTTCGAACTTCACTCTGTACTTGCCCTACGCATGCCTCTTTGCATTTCACTGTCTCATCTGTGCATGCCTCTATGCATTTCACGGTCTACTTTTCGACCTTGCAGCCGGAGCTGCGGGGACGTACTTCGCGTACTGCTTTTGCACGTCAAAGTTGCGACTTTGCAGCCTGATCTCTGCAGACGGTCGCGCGCAGACCGCGAAGATACGCGAAGATTCACACGGGACCACAGCGAGAGCGATCTGACACGCACAATCTCCAGACAGGGTTGCGCGCGAACCGCGAAGATGCGCACGGGACCATAGCGAGAGCGATCCGACACGCACGATGCCCGCAGAGGGTCGTGCGTGTGCGGCAGGAATCGCAAAAAAACCTCCAGTTTGTGCACCTCGACCACGCCGATCCCGGCAGAGGGTCGTGCGCGCGCGCAAAACCTTCAGTTTTGCACCTCAACCACGCCGATCCCCTTCAGACGGTCGCGCAGGCATGTTGAAAATCACAAGAATTCCCAGTTTTTGAAACATCGACCACGCCGATCCCTGAGGGTCGCATTTTCGCAGAGTGCGCTTGGTTCCACCGCGCCGCCTTAAGATACGAATTGTATCTGTTGGAGTGCTGCGCCCTTTTTCCTTTGGGCAATAAAAGGGTCTACAGTACTCACAGCCCCTCACCCATGTTCAAACGCAAAAGCGGGGCTCATGCGCTTTCCTTTGGCAATCTGCCAAATCTGAGGCACAGGCGGAAGCCGTGCAGGAGAAGCTTGCTTCTGGACTATGGAAGTGGATGCGGAGGAGACAGCAGCTGACCTTGTTGGCCTCGGGGTAGGGACGGCTGTGCCTGGATGACCTGCTCCTTGACCCGCAGAGAAACCTGAAGTTAGGACGGCTGCTTTTAGCGCTGTATCCGCTTCAGGGGACTCATGGCTGATCCCGGGGATGGATGACACAGGAGCCTCTTCGGCATGGACAAGTGGCTCTACGTCAAGGACAAGGCCTATGGGACCACAGCGTGGGGTGGATCCAGAAGAAGGTCATGCTGTCCCTTTTTTTTGAAAGAGCTGGAAGACAACGGCGAGGCAGAGATGAGCATAATGGACCTCTTTGCGCAGGCGCATGCATGGTGGCCGGCAGTGGTCCGTTGGTATGGCTTGGAAGAGGACCCCATCCACACGCTCACGGGCCTGGAGGTCTCGGCGGAGGTGGCCCAGAAATGGTACGCCCTCAAGAAGGAGGAGATGCTGATTCGCTCCAATTGGGATGATGGACTTCCTCGAAGAAGAAGAAGACGCGAAAGATTTTGGTGCAGATCCTGATCCTTTGCAGGATCCCCACCCTGACGGAGCTGGACCTTCAGGATATGCGCATGTGTGCAACGCAGGCCCACGACGCAAAGAAGGGGCTCTACCTGGTGGAGCCCACCAAGCTCTTCGACAGTGATACGGCGATACTGAGATGCCTCCCGCAGTCGGTCTTGACCAAGTTCGGCCAAGCCTGGGAGGGCGACGGTGTGAACATTGAGGAGTACCTCAAGAACCTGGGGGTCATTTGCGGCAGAGGATTCAGTCCGCCAAGTTGCAGAGTGCCCTGGCTAGGCAAGGCCGAGGTTTTGGTTCCAGAGAGGCAACTGGGGCTCAGCAGGCGCCCTGCCCTACATTTGTGGGACACCACGTTGCGAGGCTCGCTTTGAGAAGGACCACAGGACTCGTTGCCTACTGTGTGGAAACACAGTGTTCCCAGTCCTGGCCCAACACGCCACGCTGCAGTCCCCGAGCCCGGACGGCAAAGGATGGCAGACGGTAAACAATGTTTGGGAGCCCCAATCCAAGAACTTCCAGGAAAAGTTCAAATTCCAGTTTGGGGTCAAGCAATCCCAGATAGAACCCAGGCTCCGCCAATCCCTGACGGTGCAATTCACGGGTGCTGACGATTGACCTTTCATGGCGACGACACTGATGCGCTGATGGACAAGATTAAGAAACTGGCATCGGAAGGCCTGCTTTGGGCCTCTGACCTCTCAGCCACAAGGTACACCTCATGCTCCTTGAATGACCCACAAGTGCCTGGTGAAGAAGGTCATCTTCGGCGGAACACACTCATCTTGATTGCTGGACTCGCCCTGTCGGTGCTTAGCTTCTACACCTCCCTGGCCTCATGGTGCAGGAAGGAAGCGGAAGGTTTGCAAATCCCCAGGCATCTCCTGAAGCACAGGGGCAAGATCTATGCCCTGGCCACGCTGGATTCGAAGGCGATGTTATGTTGGCCATTGCGAAGCAGGAGTTGGCCTACACGTGCAAGGATGTTGGGGGAGACCAGGTGGTCCACACATCCCTGGTCAAGGTAGGGAGCGATGGGAACGCGCTGGCGAAGGTACTTGCGGTGGACGTCCTACTCGCCTGGCTGCCGATGAAACTGCAGGGCATCTTCCAGTGCCTGCCCATGCTGACGGACCGGACCACCATCCTGGAGATGGGGAAGCAATCCTGGAACTTTCATGAGACCGCCGGCCTTTAAGGATGCCAAGTAAGGAGCTGACCATGGAAAATGGGGAGCCGGGATGTCCTCTTCGGTGTTGGACCGGCCGCGGCCTCAACAAGAACAACCGGAGCAGGCTAGCGGATCTCAGGGCCAGACGGAGGAGAAGAAGCCCGCAAAGGCACCCACAGCGGAGCAGAAGGCTGTGGAGGCCTGGTGGAGAAGCCGGCGTTTGAGGAAGGGGGCATCCAAGCGGCAGAGGAATCAAAGAAGCTGGGGCCTACGCCCAGGCCGGGTATCCCAGGACCACATGATCGCGTTGTCTGACCAGAGCAACAAGCAGCTCTTTGATGGCACCAACCAAGGATTGGGCCTCCTGGCGGCGGTTAAGAGGAAGCTCACACCCCAAGACTTGACCTTTGGTGGCCTTTCCATGCTGGCCCGGATGCCAGCTGCCTTTCCTGAACTCCGGCTACGGCAAGAATGCTTGGACCTCTACTGAGGAAATTTTCTGATCAGCCACCCCAGGGAACCTGGGTTGAGTTCTTCCTTTTGTGAGTATTGGTGAGTAAGTTGTGGTTCTGGGTTCTCCCCACAAACCACCACAGGACTGGTTTTTGATTTAACGCGGGCTCACGTGACTGGAGTATGGTTAACACGGACTCACGCGGACCGTGGGGTATGTACATACCCTCTATCCGACGATTGGGGCCGGCAGGAAGCTGACACAGCCAACAGGCCCGCCCTGGTTATGGATTTCGCCACCCGCTTGGAGCCTTGTGGAAAAGAGTCGGGGAGTGCTGCAGACTTTATTGTGACTTTCCCTGTTCGTGCCTCTATGCATTCTACTTTCCCCGCGCATGCCTCTATGCGTTTCACTGTCTACTTTCCCCGCGCATGCCTCTATGCATTTCACCCTGCGCTTGTCCAACGCATGCCTCCACGCATTTGACTGTCAACTTTTCCTGCGCATGCCTCCACGCATTACACTGCGTACTTTCCCTGCGCATGCCTCTATGCATTTCACTATCTACTTTCCCGGCGCACTTGCGTCAGTGCTTGCCCTATGCATGCCTTTGTGCCTTTCACTGTCTACTTTGCCTGTGCATGCCTCTATGCACTTCACTCTGCCTACTTTCCCTGCGCGTGCATCTACGCACTTCAGTCTGTACTTGCCCTACGCATTTCACTGTGCACTTTCCCTACGCATGCCTTTATGCATTTCACTGTCTACTTTCCCTACGCAGCTGAGCTGTGCAGAACGCAACGACTTTGCCGAGAGGAACCCTTCGCAATGCTTTCGGGAAAAACTTGAGCCCTCGCTCGAAGGAGTAGCGGAGCTCGTACTTTTGGCTCCACGCGCGCAAAGACTCCAAGAACTTTGGGTGCTGCCGTGGCCATTGTTTGAGCCCTTGCGCGCGAAAGATTGGGTTGGTTTCTTCGTTTTGTCTACATTGTGCACAGCAGTGGTCAGCCTCGTCGTCCAGCGTCTTCATCCATTTTCTCCCGGGCACCTCGTCGAGACTCTTCCAAGTCTTCAGGCAAGTCGAGATGGCGCATCAAGCAGGCCACAGGTAGAACAACCGCACAAACTGGGCATCAATGTTTTTTTCGGCTGTCCAGAGTGCATGAGCCCTTGGACACACCGACTTAGCCAGGTACTGGGACGCTGGGGGGTGCAAGAAATGCAACAATATTGCTGTAAGGAGCGTAGTTTTCGCGTCCAACCCCAAGGGAATTTAGGGCGTGAAAACTTGGTGCGACATGAAGCGCTTTTCCCAAGATGGCTGTCCAAAATGCTATGAGCCTCGGACACACTTGGACGGGGAAGCAGGAAGTTCACGAGATGCTTCTGCACGCAAAGGGGCGTAAATTTTGCGCCCAAAATTACATGAGTTAGGACGTGAAAATTGGCATCGACGCGAAGGCTTCTTTCTCACGATTGCTGTCCATCTTCTCATGAGCCTCGGAGACACAAACTTTGCCAGGTACTGGAGACGCAGGAAGATGCACGGGATGCTGCCATATGAAGTGGTGCAGTATCCAGCACATTCCTGCGTGCTAGTTACTCTGCGCGGCTTCCTCTGCGCAAGTGTCTGCGCCATTTGCTCTCTGCGCAAGGCGTTCTTTGCAAGCTGCTCTGCGCAAGTTACTCTGTGCAAGTTGCCCGCGCAAGTGCTGCCCTGTGCCAGTTCCTTCCAATTGCTCAGCGCGCGTTGCTGTATACTAGGTGCTCTGCGTAAGTGTCTACGCGCAAGAGTCTTTGCGTCTTTGCGCAAGTCCTGCGCGCAAGTTGCTCTGCGCAAGTCTACGCATCGCTCTCGGGGAGTTCTCCATGCAAGGTTCTTTTTGTCGCGAGTTGCGATTTTCAGCGGAAATGCAATTCGTAAACGACTTTTGTGCAGTAAAGTTGCGAATGTCCAGCCAAAGCTGCGTGAACGCGCTTCGCGCGCTACTTTGGTCCTAATGGGGCCCAGTTTCCCAGTCGGAGTTGCGACTGGGCCGTGGGCTCAGCGGGGGTCGAGCCTGCGACTGCGCTCTTACAAAGAGTCACGCAAACCAAGGACCAGCTCGCTAGCAGCAGATTCCGCACGAGACCGCAGCGAGAGCGGTTCGAAAGGCCCGAAGCCTTATCAAATCCTCAGTTCTTTGACATCGACCATGCCAAGCCCGGCAGAGGGTTGGACGGGAATCGCAGAAATTGCACAAAGCCCACAGTTTTCTGATGTGCAAAACTCAAAAGTCCCAGTTAGTTTCTTGACATTGACCACGCCAGGGCCGCGCGGGGCGTAAACCTTGACATCTGATTGCAGTTGTCAAGGTTGGAGGCTGTTTGGGCGTGAAGCCGTGAAAATCCCACTTGACCGTGCGTGCTGTGAAAGGCGTGAAAACCCCTGAAAATGCGGTAGGGCCACGAAAATCCCAAACGGCCGTGAAAAGCCGCACTTGCGGTCGCAAGCAGTATGGCCCAGCAAAGTGCAGCCGAACAGCCGTCAAGGAAAGTCCTGAGTTTTTTGACATCGGCCACGTAGGTTGATCCACGCACCGCTGAGTCAAAAAACGTCCACAGATTTCGATATCGACCACGCTGTTTCGCGCAGAGGGTCGCTCTCCCATGTCAATAACACCCCCCCCGCGCCTTAAAACAGAATCTTATTTCTGAGCGCTCCCTCATGTGCGTTATGAGTCTTCTCTATAGCAGCTTAACCTAACCTTCATAGCTGCTAACGCCGAGCCCGAGAAGGCGAGCTGTCACGACCAAGCTCTTTACCAAGACTGTACCTTCCCAGATTATTCCCAGACTACTCGCCTCCATGCAGATGGCTCAGTGCAAGTTGCTCTGCGCCTGTCTTCGCGCAGATGGCTCTGTTCCAGTAGCTCTGTGCAATTTCGCTGTGCGCAGAGTGAGTCTGCGCAAGTGGCTCTGCGCAAGTGGCTCTGCGTAAGTGGCTCTATGTAAGTTGGTCTGCGCAAGTTGGTCTACGCTGATGGCTCTGCAGCTTGGTTTGCGTAAGTCACTCTGCGCAACTGAGTCTGCGTAACTGGCTCTTTGCCAGTCTGCTCAAATGGCTGTGTGCAACTTGGTCTGTGTCAGTAGCCTTGCGCAAGTCAGTCCAAGGGCTCCGCGCGATGCTTTTAGGAAAGCGGTTGCGTGCGTCCTGGGAGCAACGCGCTCAGGACGTGAAGCGCTTGCGCCGTGCCACAACCTCAGAAGGACCCTGATTCCGCCAGGGGCATGTTTGCAGGGGCTTGACGGATTGACACCGCTTTAGAACGGCCAATCCCATTTCAGGGTGACGGCCGGACATAACTAGGGCCCTGTGTGCAGGGCAGGGTTGCTCAGTCATGGCCGGGGAAAGCACAAGCGGGGAGGGCCAACATTACTCATAGGTTGGTGGAGCCGGGTCTTGACGCCCCGTGTTTTGCACCCAAGACCCGGGAAGTGCTTGAGCGCAGCGCCTCTGACTGTAGGTACTTTTGCCAGCCTTCAAACACACAGAAACCCCCTCCAACGGACAGTTGTTCATTCGTTTTCCTACACATGTCGTCTGGAGGGCGGCCCTTGCGGTTTGAGTTGCGCAATCAAGTTGCCCAGAACGGACTGCAGAAGTTTTGAGTGACAAGACAGCCGGATGGCTGAGGCCAACACTGCCGGCGTTGTGGAGGAGTATGATGCAAGCCTGGCTTACTTGGCCGACGGGTTGCTTCTTACTTCTTGTCTGGAAGACTCGCTTGACATCGATAAGTGCTGCCAAAGCACCAGCGTGCCAAGGGACCCTTGCAGGATTGTTGACAGCCTGCGTTCTCGTCTCATACCGGTTTGTCCGAACACGGGACGAAGCTTTAAGAGGTAAGCGCCCCTTGCTGCGCCGTCTAGAGCTGATTGGGAAGACGTCAATTCAGCGCGCACTGCGCAACATGATTTCAATCGTGTGAAGCATGTGGTGATCTTGGAACCAGGTGAAAGCGAGCACTTGCGCATCGAATGCCGCCTTTATTTTTTGAGCCAACATTATAGTTCGCGATGCTATTTTTGAAGATATCCCCACAAAATATGGCCCGTGCCCCAAAAGTTCTATTGTTGTGGAACTACTTGTTGTGAATGATCTTCTCTTTGAACGGCACGGGCGCGACCCCTGTCAGAGATCTTCTATTTGAATTGAACAGTGTTTCAGGGTGTCAGTTTCGTGGAGCATATGAGCTAGGCAATATTACAAGTAGTCCATGTCGATTTGGGGGACGCATGTCCCGGTTGCGCCAAAGACTTCAAATAGAATACTGCAAAGTGGTTGAAAAGGGAATGGCTTCTAGTTGACCGAGACGGGCCGCTTTCTCAAAAAAACGTCCACTCGACCCTGCAAAAGCTGCTGATTGACCAGTTTGCGGCTGAAAAGGGAATATCTTCTATTTGACCGAGACGGGCCGCTTTCTTGAAAAACCACCAGTTTTGCTTGGGCTGATTTTGTTTGACCATGCAAAAGCTGCTGCTTGACCAGTTTGTGGTTGAAAAGGGGTATCTTTTCTATTTGATTGGTCAGCGCAGTATCTTTACTTTGGCCGGCTTATGTTGGTGGCAACAATATCTTCTATTTGAAAAGAAGGGCAAACAGAAACCCGCAAGCGGCGAATCAATGCACAGTCACAGGCTGATGGAGCTTTTCGGCGGGAGCGTAGCGAAATTTTGGACTTGCAGCCGCTTGCTCTGATTCGGAGGTACCCTTTACAAATCGACTTACCATGACGCATCCCACTTGAATAGAAGATATTGCAGAAACCTTCAAAACACGAAAATTTACATTCGCCTGGGAAACGCATGGTGCAATTCAAATAGAAGTTAATGAGCATGTTCGAGTCCAAAAGATGGTTTGGAGGTACTAGTTGCACTTGCAATTTCTTCTGTTTGAAATGTTTGGGGACCCCCCAGAAAATATGCATCTTCTGATTGAAAAATCAGCACATCCGCAATTCCCAAGGTGAAATGCAATTGTTGGCGTCAGAAGGAAGAAATCTCCAGACCCAAGGGACGTGATCTTCCCAGGTTTGTAAGAGGCAGAAGCCCCGCACCGCAGAAGTGCGAAGGAGCCCCCGCGTCAGCCCCCAAGTTTGTTGTTGGGGGCGGGCGTGTGGCAACCTACTGTGCTGGACCCGCCTGGATTTCCCTTTGCTCTGGCCCAAATTTATTGTTCGGAACTACTTGCTTCAACATCGCAGGGTTCGCGGCGCCGAAACAAAGGCCCAAAAGGAGTCGGCCGCGCCTTCCCATATAGGGAAACTGGTTTGTTCGACTGGGAGGCTGTACTTTCACACACGGGTAAGCGCGACGAACAGCGGGGGGGAATGGAAACAAATTAGGGGCCAGTGGGAAGATCGAACCACTGCCGCTCGCCAGCTGCCAAAGCCGCGTTATGCCTTCGGCGTGTCGTGGCGCGACAGTGGCCAACGCCTGAGGAGGGATGGAGAGGAGGGAGAGGGAGAAGGAGAAAAGGAGAGGGATAGAGGGAGAGGACCGGCGCGGCTTTTGCTTTCTATGTCGGCTAAGGGCTGTGTTGCCAAGCAACTATCTTTGGAATGCAGTCTTGTCTTGAGAGCACTCTTGCAAGCCACTTGGGAAGAAAACGCGAAGACCAATTTGTTGACCTTCTCTTGCGCGACTTCCAAATGTGTTGCTTTCAACGGGAATTCGCCCAAAGCAATGACCGTTGTTCAAAGGTGCGCCGTCTCACCCCTCTTGCCGAATCAGAAGCCAAAGTGATCGCCGCAATTTTTTTGGCTCAAGCTCGCGTCGTGTAAAAGGGCCGGGTCGCTGGCAGCCGTGGGCACGAATGCTTGAAGGCTCGGCTATCTTTATCCACTAGAAACGATTTACTTGGCTTGGCTGGGATATCTTTTTGCCGCTCTTACGGTTAAACTGCGTTGCCCATCATAGATTCAGCTCGCCCATGGGCTTAAGCGTGCTAGCCGAACGAAGCGAGACATTTTGTGAGCACATTGTGCAAAGGAGCGCGTGCAACGAGGGCCGTGGCGTTTAGACCTGGATCGTCCGCGCCACTTGCGTTCTGCCGTCCCACGCCAACCTGCTCTGCGACCTGCGCTTCAACTTCCCTGCCTTCTCGATCAAACCCTGCTAATCGTGCAATTGAAGGCTGAGGGCCAGTGTGTGACGGGTCCAAAAGGCACGGCTCTGGCGGCTTAGGCTCCGCGGGTGAGCTCTGTCGCACAGATCCTGGGGGAGCAAGACAACTCGAAATACAGATTCTTGTGTTGACCGACGAGACGAGTCACAGTTTAAGTTCTGCAGTCAGTCGCCTGAGGCAGCTGGAGTTGAACGCAGGAAGATACCGAGATCGCGGGTTCAGCAAGAGCAGCCGTCGCACCTCGCATCGCGTTGCCCGGCAGCGTTCGGTATTACTTGCCAGACGAGGCGAGGGTGTCTTGGGTCGAATAGCCGGCTTCAGCATCGATTGCGAGGCCCAGTGCTATTTTGCGATTGTCATCAGCTCTTGAGTCGGCGTCGCGACACGGTTTGGCCGGTAAATTGGCGACCATCATGCCACACGACAGTTGCGACGTCGTTACATCAAAGAGGCTGCGTCAGCTGTGCGTCTTGCGCGCTCTTGGAAGAATGGCGCAAGCCCGCAGTTTCTGGTGATCGGCGTTCTGTCCTTCTGGCCGAGCATTGGCTCTCCTTTGAGCAAATTCACTCAAGGAGTCAAATGAGGCAAGAGCCTCTGACGCCCGGCCCTTGGAGCAAAGTGAGTGAAAAAGATGACCGCTTTCGAAGCCCACAGACGCTCTTACCAGACGCCTCACTCAAGGGACTGATGTTGCGACGGAGCCAAAGAAGTTCCGCAATGAAAGCCATCAGTGCCAGCAGCAGCAAGTGTTTGACTGGCAGCGGCAAAATGTGGACAGCGCGACTTATGATCCTCAAAAAACTTCAAAGATGAGTTTAATTTTGTCAAAGAAGGGGCTAGATAGCTCATTCACAAATCTGAGTTTGTTTTGGAGGAGGTAAAGTCTCAAGCTCACATGTTGCACGGCGAGGCAGTCAGGGAAGTCCAGGTTGAACGTGGTCAATTTCTGCCAGCTGCTAAAGTTCAGTTTGTTGATCGCACGCAGTTACTTGCAGAAGCTTGCAGAAGCTTGCTGTAAAAGTTCAGCAGCAAGATGCCGCCAGAAAACCTCATGATGGAGATAAAGGGATAACGACAGTTTGACCGCGTGCAGCATCACACCCAGGAGCCAGGTTTTAGGCTGTCCTAATGCAACCCATTGCAATCCGAGGGGGTGTGTTGCTGGAAAGGTTGGATAAGAAAGTGAATGCCAAACAGCCTGAGGCCGAGAGTCGAAGGTGATCGCTAGTCCAGCCATGCTAAGTGCTCCAAGGGTCAAACAAAATCCAGGTGAAGCAAGCGTGATAGCACTGGGGTGCTGCTGAACAAGGGAAAACAGGCTCACATGAGGGTTTTAAACCCGGAGCTGAAGGATTCCGTTGCTGACCCACTGCTGGCCCCGAATCGTCGGTCGCCGACTCTTGGGACTAGGGCTTCAATTGCGTTCCACCCAGTTCAAGACAAAAGCCTAGAAAGAAGGGAGACAGCCTGTCCGGGGGCCAAGGTACGTGCTGAACTCAGCAGCATCTTTTGAAACGAAAGGTTTCAAGCGTTGCTCTGCAGATCGCTACGCGCAGCAACGCTAGGCCAGGACGGAGTAAGCAATCCTCAGCGCGGTAGAGGAACAGACCCCGAGAAGCCGTTGGGAGGCAGCAGCAATCAACAACGAAAGGTTGCTGCAAACCCTGCAAAAACCAAGAGCAAGGACGAGCCAAAGCCGGAAAATCACAAATTCAACAAGGAAGCTGAGCCTGAGAAAGGGCAAAGCAAAAAGCCAGGGGAGAAAGCAGGCAAGAAGGGGCCAAAGCAGAGTAGCCAAGCCCCATCCGACTCCTAGAACGGCGGGGGAGAAGAGCAAGCAGACACGCAATGTGCTGCGCGTGTGACAGCTGCGCCAAGGACAAGTGTTACTTGCGTGATCGTTCAAACTTGCTCAAGGGTCCAAAGCCCCGAGCTTCGAAATCGCCCGCAGGTGCCGCTGCAGTAGCAGAGGGAGAACTCCCTGGAATCGATGGCAAAAGCGCTTGTGAGCATGACGTGCAGGTTAGAAACCCGAAGTGTAACAGCAAAGCTGAAAGCGTCTCACAGCGTGCCAGCAAAGCAATGCCAGAAGCCAAGAGGCGTGCAAGCATGTTGCGAGGTCCAGTGTGCCGTGGGCTGGTGTGTTTCTTCGAACAGTGGTGGGCACGACGTGCTCTCTCCGTTGATGTCTCTTTTGTTGTCGACGGTCGCAATTTCATCTTGGAGTTTCGACCAGGAGGCGGCGTCATGGAACGAACAGAAAATCAAACGAAAACGAGAAGCGCGTTGAAACCGGGCGCGCTGCCTTGATTTGGGAACTCAGGCCCGCACTCAGTTCCTCCTCGGACGCGTGCTGCCTAGATTGCCCTGCCTCACGAGCCAACACATGCAGTCGTGGTGTGACGAACGTCAGCCTCATCCAGCTCCGGAGGCACGGAGTGCCCTCACTTTCCTTCTTTGGGGCCCTCAAGCTATCATCTTCGCCCTTATCCTTGGGCTCCTCCGAGTTCGGCGCCGGGGTGCTGCTGAGCTTTGCGCTCTCAGCAGGCTTCTGCCTCCGGGATCTTTTGTGACGGGCCCTCTTTGCTCCACACCCTGCTGCTTCTCCTCCGCATGCGACTCCTTCTCGCTAGCAGGCTGCCTCATGCGATTGCCGACCATTTGTTGATGACATCCCTGGCGCCCTCCGCCATCCTGCCTAGGATTCGACTTCGAACGTGTCGAGGGTCTCCCGTGAACATTTGCAGGGATGAGCTCTGTCCACTACCCACCTCCACATCCTCCGTCTCGGATGAAGATCCCTTTCCCGCTCGCTGATCTTTGTGCCATCCGTCATTTCCTGGAACAGGTCAAGCACAGGTCTTATTGTAAACCAGCGCCCGTGAACAAGGAGGACTGGCGAACTGATTCAGAGGTTGAGCGTGCGCCGAATCCTGATGAATGCAACAGTCGCTGTGGCAGGTTCTTGGATGAGGAGAAGGCGGAGCTTGTCGGGTGCGGCTGGACTTCAATGGTTTTGGCCCGGTCAAGAGTATCTGTGTGAGGCAGGGCTTTACCCCGGTCCGGTTGGCTGGACCACCGCCCAGGTTGGTTTTCTTGGATTCAAGCTAAGCAGCTGGGGCTTTCGTTGCCCTAGCCTCCGTTTTCTTTGTCCACACTACTCCCCGGCGAGTTTCTTGTTCTTAGGTCACCGTTGCATTTTCACTCATTGCGGATTGGTTTTTCCACCTGAAATTCACGGACTCACGAACTCTGGGGTATGTGCACTACCCCTTAGTCTGCTGGGGGCCGTTGCGCTGGCTTGCAGTCAGTTGTGGAATGTTTTACCACTTGCTCGGTCTTGGTTACAGAAGGGCGCGTTCGACGTTCAACTGGCTGCAACGGTAGCAACAAACCGTTGCTCTTGCGGGGTTGGGTCCCGTGTGGACCAGGGTTTTACTGGCAAGCTGTGACAGTACACCGTCATGGCGACGCTTCTGTTTCAAAACTGAAAGCCAAACGAGATAAGCGCCTTTAAGTTGCAGCAACAGCAGAGCAAGTGCTGGCTTAAGGGAGCCGCGTGCTCTGAGCCACCAACCTTCACGCAAATAACATCAACGCATTTAAGTGGAAGCGTCATCAGGGCTACAAACGTAGCACACTGGAAAAGACTAAGACAGGCAAGTCTCCGTTCTACACAGAAGCGGTGGCACCAGTCCTCATCGGCGGCCTTTACCCGTCAAAGCTGGAAACAGACATTCCTCCCAGGGGAGTGTCACGTGAAAAGCAAATTAGAACCTTGTCAAGCCAATGCGCACGCAGGAGTTGACAAGCTTCTAGATCATAAGCGGTTGCGCCAGCATGACGGGGCACAACAAGTTGATGAGGAAGCTAGTGGTCTCCTAAGCAATCGGACTTGGTCCTTCAATGCTTTGCTTCCTCGCCGTGAGCTTCCAGAGGAACCGCTAAAGATCGGAAGGCCGATGACCTGTCAACCAAGAACTTCGAAGCTCCAGGGCTTAGGAAGGTGTGACAACACCAGGGATAGGTCCAAGACCTTGGAAATCCTTCAACTAAAGTTTCAGGCCTGGGCATGCAGCGCGAGAGTGTTGACAAAGTTTCCAAAAAGCACCTCGCCTGAAGGACAGTTCTTGGGGCGAAAACATGTTGTTAAATCTGAAATTGCGTCGCAATGACACATGATATTTTCGACCTTTGTTGGAATGCTGGTGACCTTTGTGTCTTTGAGCGGCCGGCGGTTGAAACAGGCAGCCGCGCCACACTTGCCAGACAGGTCGCTCTTGGACACAGATTGGGGCATTCGTGGAGCCCCAGGTGACAGTCCTGGAAACCATGGAGGGCGAACCCCAACATGAAGACCAATGTGTTGAGCTTCTCTTGCGTGACTTGCAAATGTTGCTGTCTTCCATGACGAACCGAAAGAAGCAAGGACCATTGTTACCTCCGCCGCAATTTTCCTAAGCCAGAAAAAAGCGATCGTCGTTCCCTTTTGGCGCAAGATCGCGCTGTGCAAAAAGGGTCGGGTCTCTTGCAGGCATTGCGCTTGACTTCAGCTTCAGCGTGGGTGCGGATTCTTGAACGTGCCATTTTACATCTGCCACTGGTGTCAAATTTCTTGAGCAGACTGGGAGACCATTTTCCCACCTCATCTGCTTGATCGACTTCCAAGATGCTCATCTGTTTTCTGTTAGATTCCGCCGGACCCCCCCACAATAAAGACTCTCCGCAAAACAAGGCGTACTCATTACTAGGGTCCTGCATGGTCTTCGGTCCAGATTGGCTCCCGCTTCCCGGACACGAAAAACGCAAAACAACAATTTTCCAAGTAACGGTTTTAATTAAAGCCTTTCAAGGTTGTTTCTTCGTTTTGCGGTTCAACAGGGCGCAATAGAAATTTATACGTACAGTTCTAGAAATAAATGTAAATGGAGATATCGAACAGGTTCGTGCTGGTTTTGAATGGGGCTATTCTAAAAGTAGCGTTGGGGACCCGGTTGGTTCAGCCCGTCCAGAAAATCGTATGTATTCATAGGGTCCATAGATTAAAAGAGGGAACAGACTACAACTCCGAAAGATAGAAACCCGGAAGGTCTGGAGCATGATTTCGGAAAGCAGGTCCTGCGCAAGGATCGAACAGTTTGTGGGCACGCTCCCGCGTAGACTGCTTTTGTATTGCGAGCCTCCCAGCAGGGAACAATGAGCCCTTGGGACGCAGAAACCATTTTTCTATCGTTGCGTGCAGCGAATCCAGAACCAACGTGTCTCGTCCCGCGCAAAGACAGAAATTCTCCGGCCAAAGGTCTGGAAAGTTTCGCGCCTCCGAAAAGAAAAGCAATGTTTTCCAGACCTTCCGCAACTGGAGAGTCTTTTTCTTTGCCCGGGGACGCCAAAACCTGTAGAGGGTTGATTCCGTTTCGCACAAACATTAAATTACGTAGTGGCAATACTAAATACAGTCGTGGCAATACAAAAACTAGTACTGGCAGTACTAAATCTAGTGGTGGCAATGCTCCATCCAGCGCTGGCACTACTACTGGAAATATTCAGTTTCCCACTGGCAACACTTAACTTTGCACTGGCAATTCGCCGCTTAGTTCTGAAAATTAACTTGAGTACTGGTAATACTACATGTAGTACTTGCTGTTTTAAATTTAGCGCTGGCAACATTTAGTGCCGGCAACGCTAAATGCAGTCTAGTAATTTTTGTGCTGGTAGCTTCAACTTTTTAACTCGTAGGACTCGTTTTCAAAGCCCACGTGCAACTCCAAAGCTTCTATCTCTGCGCACGCCTGGCCAGACGCAGGCTTTCATGAGCAATTAGTATGAATTAGTTTGTTTGCTTTTGCAGTGTGCTCCCTCCTTCTGCCCCAAAGCTAAAAATTCCTTCCAGGGTTCATTCTTGAAATGAAGAGTTAAACAGTTCAAAACCCTTCTCAAAAGCTTCAGATGTACATTGGCAATGCACAATTTAGCAGTGGCAGTATTAAATGAAATACTGGGAACACAAAACTTTGTACTGGCAATATTGAACCTAGCGCTGGCAATTTTAAATTTAGTACTGGCAATGCTAATTTAGTACTGGTAATACTAAAGCTTGAGCTGGCTACACTAAGTTTTCTACTCGGAGGACTCGTTTTAACCGCCCGCGTGCAACTCCAAAGTTTCCAGCTGCGCGCATGCCTGGCAATATGGAGGCTTGCGCAAAGATACAAACTGTTTTAAGGAGTTTGTAGGGCAATTAGTGCAATTTATTTTGCTAGGATGAAATTTGGTATGGTCAGTGCTAGCTTTAGTCCTGCCAGCGCTGAATTCAACATTGCGGGTGTCAAATTGATATTCCAGTATCAAACATAGTATTGCCAGTAAGAAAAGTAGCATTACCAGCACGAATTTCAGAGTACTAGATTCAGTGCTGCCAGGATGCGATTTTGTATTTTCAGTTCCAAATCAAGTGTTGCCAGAACTTAGTTTAGTGTTTCTAAATTTAAAATATTTAGTATTGCCAATTCTAGACTGGCATTGCCAGTACTCAACTTCGTACCTCCACAACTCGCTTTGCCAACGCTAATTTTCCTGTTTTTTGATGAGGCTTTGAATTGTTAAACGTCCTTACGAAAAAATGCAGCCTGGAATGATTTTCGGCTTTTCACAAAGGGGGTAGCTCTGCGAGTCCACAACCAACCCTTTGCGGATGTTTGGGTCCCGATCAAGCATAGAACAATTTCAGACAGCTTCGTTGCCAGGAAATTTATGTTTCCACTCATCCTTACCAATACTAAGTTTCGCAGCGCCAGTACTCAACTTGGTATTGCCAAGACAGAATGCAATCTTGCCAGTGCTACATCTGGTTTTGTCACAGCAATGCCAGCGGTAAGTCTAGTACAGTCCTGCCAGCACATAGCTTAGTATTGCCAGTGCTGAATTTAAGTTTGCCAGCTTTAAATTCTGCATTGCCGTTTGTTTTCCAACGCTAAGTTTTGTACTTTTAGTCAGGCTCGTAGTTGCTTTGTTCAAGCCCTGTGTTTTTTAGGCCTTGCAGAAAGATAGAAACTTTTGCTACGGCTCATGGCCCGGAAAAGTCATGATTTCCCTGCAAGCGATGAATTTAGTATTGCCAGTCCATAAATAAATCTAGAATTGAAACATCGAGTTGAAAAATTGCCAGTAGTAAATTCAGTACTGCCACTACTTAATTGAGTCTTGCCAATTAATCTTGTATTCGTGCGAAAACGGAATCAACCCTCTGAAGGTTTGGGCGCCGCCGCGCGAAGATAGACACTCTCCAATCGCGGCAGGTCTGGACAATTCTTGGCTTACGGGCCCACAACTGTCCAGACCTTCCGCGACCGGAGAGATTCTATCTTTGCGCGGGGAGTTTCGATTTTGCGTTTCGGGCTCTCCTTTTTTCAGGGCCCACGTCTGGAAAAGAGTTTCTTATCTAGGGTGGTCATCGCTAACTCTATGTTAACTAAGCGCTTTTGTGCAGCGTGCGCAGTTACCATTTTAGCCACTCATGTAGTCATATTTCATTATTTGATTACACTCAGCCATGTATCTGTTCTTTGCGTTGTTCCCAAGTGCTTTTTTAGTCAGTCAGTCTGTCAGTCTGTTGGTTAGATATTTGGTTGGCTGGTTTTGTTAGTTGGGAGGTTGGCTGGGTGGTTGGTCGGTTTGTTGGATAGTTGGTTGGTTTGTGGTTGGTTGCCCAGTGAGTGTGTTAGTTAGTAGTTAGCCAGATAGGTTTGTAGTTGGGCAACTTGGTTAGCCAGTTGTATACTTTTGCTTTGTAGGTTCACACAAATATCTTCACATAAATGAACACATTTGTCGGAGTCGGAATTTCCTGTTCCGCGCCGCTTCTCACCCGGGACGCAGAGCCTCAGGCAGACACATCGACATCGACCTGCAGTGTGTAGTTGTGGCCGGCGGCTCAGTCAGCAGCTGCCGCGGCAGCTAACCCGCCAAGCTGCGCTCGGACTGAAGGGACTAGCAGTGGGCAAAAGTCAGAAGCCCAACTAGGTCATGGCGCGGCTAGCGACTGGGGCCCGGCAAAACCATCGTTGCGTCGGTCAAAGCCAAGCCTACAGCAATTACCAGTGCGATTTCAAGAGTGGCGAATTGAGGCATTGCCTCGCGTGCTGTGTTTTGCAGCCTTCTATCTTGTTTTCTGCCTGTTCCAATAGAGCGCAGCACACTTGCTGCCAAACTTCTGATTTTTTTCGGCTGCTGTTCTTGATTGTTTGAGCGGCTCTTCTGCCTATACACAAGTTGACGACTATGCCTGTCTGAGCTTCTTGTTCCTTTGTTGAACATGTCTATCGACTCAAGCCAACGCAGGTTGACGCAAGAACAGCTGGGCTCTGGTGGCTTGAGCACGTTTCTCAACTCAAGCCAATGCAAGTTGACCAGAACAACCGTTGGGTTCTGGAGGCTTTGACAAGGCAACCTGCACGCGCAACAGACCTGTGGTCATGGTGTGCAAGTACCACAGTCAGCTCAAAGATCATTGCGCTTCCACTATGTGTGGTCAGCCTTTCGCGAGAAAAGCATGTGTGTCTGTCTGCGTTGCCTGACGCAAAGTCAGCATGTTTGAAAACACACAACCACGGAGCCCGTGTTTTTCCATTGCTTAGGGCTGGCTCCGACCGATCAGCTTCGGCTCCGAGTGCAAGGGTCCAATAGTCCGAAGTGCACAAGGGCACAAGGGTCCGAAGGGTCCTAGGGTTCAAAGGGTACAACAGTCCCAAGGGTCCAAAATCCCAGGGTCAACCAGACACAAAAGTCCAAGAGTTCAAGGGTCCGCAGGCACAAGGATTCCAATGTCCGAAAGACACAAAGGTCCAAGGGTCTGAAGGACACAGAGGCCCGCAATGGTGCGAAGGATCCAATAGTCCGAAATGCACAAGGGTCCACATGGTGCGAAGGGTCCAGAAAGTTCCGAATGCTACAAGGGCCCAAAGATCCGAAAGGTATAAGAGCCCAATGGTCTGAAAGGCACAAAGGTCCGAATGGTGCAAGAGTCCCAGGGTCCGCACGGGTACAAGGGTCCAAGGGTCCAAAAGGCATGAGGGTGAAGCCAGGATTCTCTTTGCGTCAGTGGAATGGTGCAAGGCTCTAGGGAGCGAGGCTTCGCAGGGCACCTGCAACCAACAAAAAAGCTCGCCCAACCACCCCCTCAATTAGACAGTGAACTTCCCCCGCGTAAGACGAGCCACAGGCGCGCTGGTCTAAGAGTCTAAAGGTAAACCAGGGTCTAAAGGCAAACCCGGGTCTATGGAGGCTGCCTGCCCTAGAAATGACCGTACTCAGAAATGACTCTTTGCTAGAGCTTTTCGTTGGGACGCGGTTTTTCTTTCAATATTTGTAAGTGGACGCTGCAGTGCCCATTCAGGGACAGGGCCCCACACGCTGGCAGACTTGCAGGGCTGGAGAGTAATGGGGAGCCTATATTGCCAGCCTCGACATGTGTTCCACGGGATGGTCATCCAAGGCAAGGGGGTCTCCACAGGCTCCAGGGTCAAAGGTCCAAATATCGAAAAAGTCAAGATGCGCAAAAGGGCCCAGGAGCAGAAAACGTAAGATTCCAAAAGAGTCCAAAGATCATTCCCTGGAAGGCCCAAGCTTCCAAGGCTTAGGAGGCCGTCCCATCTTCCAGGTGTTCAGGGCGCAAAGGGTCCAGACAATCAAAAACAACAAGGGTCCAAGATTCAAGGTTCAAACAGCCTGGTCCAAACTTCGACAGGGTCCACGTTCGAAGAGTCCAAAAAGCATAGGGCCTCAGTCACCGAAAGCAAAGCAGCGAAGGGGAACGCCGGGTCCAGGCTCCAATTGTGGTCCGAATATCCCAAGAGACAATATTTTACTTCGAGCAATCCGCACCCTCCCAACAAGTCATGTGTTTTTGATTTCTTTTTTCGGGATCACTCTTTCGGGATCGCTCTTTCGGGGCCACTCTTTCAGGATCACTTTGGGATCACCAGGGTCTACACGGCGTAACGGTAAACCAAGGCTGTCAGGTATCCTCGCGGGGGGTCTGAGAGACGCTGTCAAGGAGCTTGCGCGGAATGGTCCAGAGAGCGAGGCTTCACAGGGCACCCGTAACCCAACGAAAAGCTCACCCAACCATCCCTTGACAATGAACTTGCCCCACATGAGACGCCAAACAATAGCCAAGTTCAGAAAAGTCAGATCAGCCACGGGCGGCGGCTCCTGCCAAGAGGCGGCAGGGTTGGGAGGAGCCACAGGCGTAGTGTGGCTTATCAATCAAAAAAGGTTCCAACTTCCATGAATCGGAAGCCGCTTTGTTATTCCTTGTTTGCAAGACATTGCCAGGTTGCCCTATCAGCTGTCGGACTCGCATCCTCTTCCTGGGCCGGTCTGCGATCGTTCCAAGCACGTGTCGGAGGCAGGCAGCTGTCCCAAAGTTTTGGTTCTCAGCCTCACAAACAGAACAACCCTCAGTGACGGTTACTCAGCGCCGATTCGACTAGAGATGTGTTACTGTTAGTGGCTTTGGCTACCAACGCTAACAATGAACAATTAGTACATCCCTCAAAGTCTGACCGGGATAAATACCGGGAATCCCGGTATCCATGCTAGTCAGACTTTCAGGGATGTGTCAAGTGTTCGTTGTTAGCGTTGCTAGGCAAAGCCATGAACGCATCTCTAGGCGCTGAGAAACCGTCACTGAGGGTTGTTCTGCTTGTGAGGCTGAGAGCCAAAACAGCTCATTTTCCGATTTCCACCTTTGGAGTGTGCGATTGCCAACCTGCACGAAGCTGGGCTGGTCCGCCTGCCCCTCCCGCATCCGCAGAACAGCGCGTTGTCCCGCCTTGACCCACCTTGAGTTCTCATTCATGATCATGACCCTGGAAGCGACGGTCTGTGAGCCAGTCACGGCAGTCGAGGAGGACAAGCCTGAGAAGGTCGATTGGCGAAGGACGTCCCCACTGGGCTTTGCAGCGCGTCGGCGAGGAGGCCACCGCAAAATTGGCTTTCGCCAAGCTGGTCAAAATATGTGCTTGGTGGGGGAAAAGACCGGCCTGGCCCAAGCACCCGTCTGTTTTCTACAGCACTATCCAGAAAGCAGCATTGATGGCGTGGTTGGTCAAGCAGGGCCAGAAGAACACACCGCCACTGTTCCTGTTTTGGAGGCACTTTAGACTTAACCTGGTTGTTTTTGTTTTTTGCTTAGTCAGTGACAGGATAGGTTAAATTGAAATCAATCAATCCATCGTCACACTAACTTAGTGTGACGATGGATTGATTGATTTCAATTTAACCTATCCTGTCACTGACTTTTGGAGTGATTGACTAAGCAACGACAGGATTTCTGGGCTTCCAGCAGTGCTCCGGAGTTCTCGGGCAAGAAGACCTACTTTCAGTCTCATGAGCCAGTACATGCGGAAGATTTCAAAAAATCGTAATTAGCTGATCAATCACCTTCACAGCGGATCTCCTCAGCCCGAGGACTTGGTTAAATACCTGCTCACCGCGGGTGGCGGCGCTTCGCAGAGTTCATCAAGTGCCAGCTTGCCAGCTCATGAGACCTGTAGAAAGGCACGGTCCGGAAGATTTACAATGAGTTTTGAAGCGCTTGTTGTGGCTTGAAGCCATCGCTGTACATGCGCAGGCACTTTCACGGCCCGAGAGAAAACAAGATGCGCGACCGGCGGCGCGGGTGAGTAGGGTACAGCCAGCACATATGTATATGTGTGTGTCTCTGTGACAATGTGTCATCAGGCCCCGGTGTCACGTTTAGCCACCTTGGCCCCAACAGGTGCGCCCTGAAAGGCCGGCCTGCTGATCCAATTCTTACTGATACGAAGTGTGACAGGCCTGCGGTGGCGCTTAAGGAGTCCGATCCATCCTGGATCCTGTGAAGACACATTTCCAAGACAATTGTGGACCTTGAGTGAGGTTTCCGGAAGACCAGACGGCGCGCTCTGAGGCCTCCTGCTTTTTGGTAAGGGGACACTCCGATTGCCACATCTATGTAACGCCAGATGAGTTGTTCGGGACGGCGGGTTGCGGGAGTTGGACACTGTTAGTTTGTGGTTTTGATTCGTGGTTTGGGGATACGAACACCTGGTCCTTGCTTGCCGGATGGTAAGAGTACAGCAATGCCTAAGTCTCAAACTACCAAGCCGAACCAGAATTCAACAGTTTGCCAAGGTTTTGCAGTTGGATGTTGTTGTAGTTCGCGTGCCGAGGCGCATGGGCCCTTGTCATTTTATTTGGCACCTGCGCTCCCATCCACTAAGATAGAACCCACTGGAGGGTGCCTTGTAGGAAACATCGTCTCCGCAACCTGCCCCCAAAGTTGGGTTCCACGTTGGGTGGGAGCATTTGCCACTGAATGCTTCTTCGCAACTCGGCCTCAGGACAATGCTGGGGTGATCATTGACTGCGCGTGCGCCTTTTCTCCGGTCGACGACATGAGGATGCGACAGCGCAGAAAATGCAACAACATTTTGAAAACTGAAGTTCGGGAGGAGGCTCACACAAGAGATCAGTACAGGGGGACTCGTAGACAAACCGCTCCTTCAAGAACAAGAAAGCTGTTGGCGTAGGTGTAAACGCTTCACGTTGCCCGCCTTGCCCAGCATGGTGTTGGCTGGCTTTGATACTGTGTTTTGGTTTGCTTTGAGGTGTGATGTTTGTTTGAGTGAGTTCGCGCGTGTCCACATGGCTCAACGAGACCCGCAAAGTTGCAGGAGGGTAGTGGACTGGAACCAAGCGAAGCGCTAATCACGTTTCTATCCAGAGTTGGAGACTGGAGACTGGCTTCAGAGGGGTTTGCTCGGGAGTGTTGCTGGTTGCAGCAGGGAGGATTGGCTTCTAGAGGGAATGTGGCTGGTTTCCGGAAACAAAATTGAGTTTTAAAGGGGTTGTGTTGGTTTCTAGGGGGCATTGAATTTGACCGGCTCGGTTTTTAGGGGGGAGTTGGGCCGGTTTTAGAGGGGGTTCGTGGGGGCTTTAGGGTCCCTTCGAAGCTTCCTGGGCCTGCGCTTCCAGGCTCGCTTCCAGGCAGGCTGGAGCAGGGATTTTTGTTTGCGCGACATGGAGACCAACTTTGAGGGGAAGGGGTTGGGGATACCTTTTTTTTGAGTTTGTTGTGCAACAAGAACAAGGAAAGCTTCGCAAAAGGTTTATTCTTCTGATTTTGTTGGCAGGCAAGCCGACATGATCTTGCAGCCGTCATGCAAGACACAAATTGCGCTGTGGAAGCCGCGTTGCGCGGACACTTCTGGACCTCCAACCGCTTATTTCTTGGCTTTTGTTCAACTGGCATGCAGAGCATAGTGACACCACATTTGCTTCGGCATGGACGTGTCCGCTTGTACGTGTGTGCGTGCGGGTGTACGGCTGCACGCACGGGTGTACGTACGGGGGTACAGGTGCGCGCGCGGGCGTACGTACGGGCGCGCGTACGGGCGTGCGTACGGGCGTGCGAGTGTACGTACGGGCTTACGGTGCGCGCAGGCATGCGTACGGGCGAACGTACATCCGTCCGCGCGCATATTTGGCCTGCTATTTCTGGCTACGCGCGTGCGCGCATCCGTCCGCCCACCCGCGCATGTATCCGTACACGCGAGCTCGTGCTTCCGTACATCCGCGCGCATGTCCGTACACGTTCGTACGCCGCCCGTGCGTTCGCGCAGAAATGCCCGCGCGAAAGAAGGCGAGTATTGAAACTGGTAAACTGGTAGAAACATTGGGTCAGTATAAACTCATTGGCTTGCTCCCTTCTCACAATGACGCTGGAACGGGGGGGCAAACGGGATTGAGTTAAAACTGTTCCTCAGCCAGTTGCAACACCCCCCTGTTCTACACATTTCCTGCGCTAAACGAACAATCATATATGACGTACAAGGAAAGCGTTGCATCAAGTCCGACTTTTGTCTGTTCGATTTCCATCTGTTATTTAACGCTTACCCTTCTGCAAGCTAGCGCACCCACCAGCCAAGGGACTCTAAGAGACACCTTATTTCCCAGGCACCTCCACGCAAGCTCCACATCAGTGCAAGGGCAATATATTGAGTGGAGTGGGGGGTCCGCCCCGCAGGCTGTTAGGACCATCCCCCGCAAACCCCTTGAAAGATGTTGACTGGACATCACCTGCTTACTTGCAACAACCTTCAAGTTTGGGGGGCAGTGCGTGCTTGGCGTTTAGGAGGGAATGAGCCGTTCCTCGAAGAAGAAGATGCCAGCGTGTGTGAAGCCGCAAACACCCTCAAGCAGATGCAGAAGCATCATCATCATCATGATTCTGACGCGGCAGTGCCCATTCATGATACATGCCGCTCTGCACGGCATAGTGAAGCACTTGATGCAGCTGCGAATGCAAGTTGCACAAGACCGCACGCATGCAATGCACATGCAGTTTGTCACGGTGTAACATCGGACGCCAAGCTGCTGAGAAGTGGCTGCAGGCAAATGCTTAGCATCGTACTTATGAATCTCATGCGTCAACGCTTATCCTGCTATGACTGAGTGGTGTTTACTCAACCCAGCAAGAGGCGTTCTCACAGTTTTCGCGGCACTGCTTCCAGTGCTTATGTGGGTTATGTTCGGGTCACAAGTGTGTCCTCGAGTCTGGATGCAAACATCACTGAGATCAAGGTGTCACCTTGTATCTGGGCACAAGTGCAAGCTCCAACCAGAGGTCAAGTGCTGTTCACATGCAGTCAAGTTGGGCAAAACAAGTGGTTCGCGTGTCGTGTTGTCTCTGCGGGGCCTGCTGCCTCACGCGGCGAATCTCTGCTGTAGCACGTGATGTCGTACAGCAGTGAACCAATTCAGAATTTCTTCGTCATGGTGCTGCCCGACTGGCCAAGCCAATCTGGCCTGCAACTCATCCGCCGGGGCTGTGGCGGGTCGCTCGCCCGGAACATCAGGGCATTGCCATAGCATGTGTGCCGTTGTGCCCGGCGCACTGTGACAAAATGGACAATCGGTAGATGCGCCTTTGAATTGTCCAAGAGCAGCCGGTGACACAAAACTATTTCGGGCCCTTGAGTTTTGGGTAAGTCTGCGTGCGAGTTTGCACCTTCCTTATCATAGGGTATTTCACACAAGTGATGGCATGGTTTCTGTCAGTGAGCTGCCACTTTCTGTATGCGTGGGCTCAAAAGCCTTCGCGCAAGTCGTGTCGCGCTTTTCCAGCTACCGGGTTGGCGCTCCGAAGAAGGGACAATCGCCTCTGCGTAAGATGGTGTGACCCTGTTGGCGCTTTTAAAGCTTATGCGCATTTGCCGCCCACCCATGAGTTTCGGACCAGGGTCCTGGACGAGGTGCATGTTTCACTTGGCGCACAGCAGCGTTTACCAAATTCTGCAAGACTCGAAACTGGGCGTCCATTTGATGGCCTTTGAAGATCTTGCGAAGAGGCGGAGCTGTTACGTTTGGCGCATTTGTCATGGGATCCACTGCGCGCTCAACAACCCGAAAGGCACTTAAGGGTGGAAGTTTTCGTACCAGCCATGCTCCATTTTGGAGAGTCCTGCGGCAGCAGCGACTCTTTTCCGTTTTCCAAGTGTCACGGGAAGCCGGGCAGTTTGTTGGATCCGTGCCGCGGCCGCCGTCAAGTATTCACTTTCGCCACTTGTGAGCTTGCGCTGAACAAGTCCTTGGAGGTGACATCCCAGCGCACAGGGCGCTTCAACCGCAGTGCCTTCCCTGCATCCTGCCCTTTGCAGGGCTTGTCTGCCACGCTTGGTCTGATGAAAGTACTGAGTCTTGCTCGTGTTTTCTTTCAGGCCTATCAGATCAGACCAAGTTTTCCAGATTTCTTGCACAGCTCCGGACTAGGCGATGACCAGCTCCTGTCATCCACATAAGTCTTCAAAGTGGTTTCAGGGTAGGTTCGTCTGATCACGTGTGTTGGCGGGGCAAGCAGGGCTAGCAAGCCACACATTGACCACGGGTCTCCTTGCGGCAAGGAGGTGTGTACCAGCTGCGGTTCTTTTAGCACGCATCTTTCAAACCCCAGGAACCTGGACTGGTTTCTCCATGTTCCGAGAAGGATGTCTGCTACGCCTGTTGGAAGCCCAAGATGTTTGAACATCCAAGTTGCAGTGGCCGGATGACAGTGGTCGAAGGCGAGCGAGTAGTCAAGTGACGTGAGGTAGGCTCCACGCTGCACACTGCCTAGTAAAGGTCCTAAGGCATCATCGAGACTTTTTCCCTTTATGCCACCACATGCTTCGTTTGGAAGCCAGGTGCTCAGCCAGTTTTGCGCCCCGGCCGTGCGAAGACGCGTCGTGGTCGCGGGCCCCGTCTAGTTGGCGGAGCTTTTTCCCCGCTTTGGCAGGTGCGCGGCGTTTTGCCAGATCTCTCACAGTCCAAGCATCAGCTCCTCTAGCTTTTGCCTTGAGTGTCAACAAACTCAATTGCTCTAAGAGGTGCCCATGGCGCATTTTCATGGCACTCCCTGTGGGCACTAGGCATTTTTCGTTGCACTTCATGCTGAAAGCTATCCTGCGGGGGTATTTGTCTGTCCCAAATACTCCGCCAGTATCGGCATATGAGCGAGAGGGAGTCCGACTTCGTTTCGGTCCCCTGTTCTATGCCAAGTGTTGGGGCTATCAAGCCTCTGCTTGGCTGCGCTGCTTGCGTTCTGATCCATGCGTAGCCTGCGGACTCAGACTCCTGCAGTTTGCTGCGCCATATCTGAATGCGCGCTTGTTTTTCTTGCTCTTGCATTCTTTGTAGCAGTTGTTGCGTCTGGTCGTGTTGCCCACCAGATGGCCAGGCACCTTTTGGACTTTGGCGCATAAGTCACTATACTCTTGCGTGTGATTTTTTCCGGCTGCCTCAAGTTTCTGCATTTCAAGCAAACTGGCTACTGCATTCCTCGTGCGTCGCAGCGCATAAGGCTCGCTGCCTTTGTCCAGCTTGCTGTGCTTACGGCATCGCATCAGCTGCGCTGTTCCTCCTTTGACGCAGCCATAAAAACGGGCACAGCTCATGCCTGGTGAGTCGGCGCACCGCTCTGCATGCGTGGTTTAGTGCAAGCTCGAAGCAAGTTTCCGTGGCACTCCATAAGGTGTCAGGCTCATTTTGGTTGGCTACACTGGGGTAAGTCGGCACGGCGAGCGTATTCCACTTTTCCGTAAGGCATTGGCGCCACAGGTGCGCCGTGACATGGGCAGGCTTATGCTTCTTAACCTCACATGCCCATTTCCAAGTAGGGGCTCTTTCAAGCATTTGCATGCGCAAGTGGAAACACAGAATGCGGTGATCCGCAATTGCCTCGCTGTGAAAGCTGGCATTACTTATCAACGGGTCATGGTTAGTTATGAGGTAGTCAATTGCCCGATTGCCGCCCCATCGGGTGGGGCAAAGCTTTCCCGTAACCTCATCAGTTACTGCTGTCAAGTGGAAGTTTTCAAATATGTACCCGGTGGCAAGTGGTGCTTCATGAGGTTGGTGCTTCATGAGGTTCATCATTAAAGTCACCGACACATGCCCACGGAATGCCCATTAAGAGCAGTTGTCTTGCTTCTTCAACGAAACTGCACAGGGGCAGGCGCACTTCGTTGGGAGGCTGTAAATGCATTATGGTAACTTCACAGGTCCAGCAGTATGGTGACTGCCTGAGCTTCTTGTTCACTGAAGTCAATCACTTGCTGGCAGCGGTAGCGGTTGCTGACAAGTATCAGAACTCCCCCGCATGCCTGTTCTAGGCGCATGATGGGCTTGGCGCAGTAGAATCTATAGTCATTGGCCTCCATGAACTTTTGCAGTGCCTGCAGTTCACTAGGTCCTAGACCAACTTCTTTTACGGCCATCACAGGCATTCGTCGCTCAATTCGCAAGCGACAGAAATCCCACACGCCTGACCAAAATGGCAATGCTCTCTGCCCAGCTGGCCCTGGGTTGGGATGTATATCCCCATGCTGCGTGAGATCAGGCACGAAACCTTTTTTAGTTTTTCTTGTAGGTTTGCATGCTGTTGCTTTATTCACTCTCTTCAACGCTGCGTCCACGGTGGCACGCGTGGCCCAGCCATGCCGTCACGCCGACGCCTGCCCCATGGCGCGCTTGTTGGCGGCCGTGCCTTTCTTGCATCGGAGATGCTTTGCGCAAACCTGGGCTCTTCCCGTCGGACACGCTGCCACCAGTAGTGTCGTGCTCTACGGCAATTTTCAGACGTTCTGAGCCTGATTTCCTTTTCCGACATGTGTCCTTGGCATTGGGACCACTGGCTTTCCAAGAGCAGTCATGCAGGCGGTGCACATGTTCATGTTTCCTCTCTTGCCCCGCTCTTGACGTTCGTGCGGCGCAACACGGGTCGGCGTATGGGTCTTAAAGACCTTTCGCCTTCGCTCATCATGCTGTTGTGTCTGTTGCTGAGACGCTCGCTTGGTCTTTTTATGCGCGCCAGTAATCCTTTTGTGGTGCAAGGACAATGGTGCTTCATCAGGATGCACCTTAGCGATATGTCTCTTAATTGCACGCAGTGTGTCTTGATTGGGCAGTTGCCCAAGTGCAGCAGGACAGAGAGGGCTCTCTGGTCTGGATGCGCTCCAAGCACTCGTGCACCTGTGTGCGCTGCACGCAGGTCTGGCTGTTGGGCCTGTCTGGGCGTCTGGTTCTCCAATGCGCATGCTTGGAGGCGATCATACCGCCTTGCGTAGTGCAAGAAAGAACCGTCGTGCGTGCCAGGCATTTCCACTCATACCGGCTGCTCTGCTTTTGTCGTCAGCTGCTGGGCAGTGCCCGTCACTTTTGACAGAGACTCAGAGTCCGCAAACGCACAGGCCACCAGGCCATCAGGAGCCCAGCTGTTCAGGCTGGAGCCGTTCTTTAGTGCTCTTTGCCATGCTCACCCAGCTCTTGAGGCTTGCGCCACTTTTCACCGTCTGGCTTTTGTTGAGGCTGGGCACCCAACTTTTGAGACTGGGGCTTCCTTTTCCAGCACCTCGCAGTCTGTCCACGGACCTCTAAATGAGGGGCGTGTCACTCCACTCCTTTGGCCACCCAGTTGCTGATGCAGGGTTCTGTAGTGCTTGTGTTTGAGCAGCAGGGGCAGCGGTGGCTTTTTCGCTGCATCTTTCTGTTGCTTTTTGTACTCAGCCGGGGGGTCAATGACCCAACCTTTCTGCCAAGTTTTGTCATCCCACACGAACACCGCGATGGAACGGCTCATCAGCGCAGCACCTATGGCCAGTGTGGGTTCATCTACCCAACGCTTGGGCCTGGCAAGGCATGTTCTTCCGTCCAGCTCGGGTCAGGGGCCCATTCTCTCGCGAAGAGCTTTTTTGTGCGGGCCGCGTCTGCTATCTTAGCTCTCAATGAGGCAGCAAGTTTTGCTGCTTTCTCTTTGACACTGTCAGCGTCCTTTCCTTGCTCCATGCCATACGCAGCCGCGAGGGATCGCAGCCCGCAGTCCCCATTACCGCCACAGTCGAGCTCGAATGTGTCATCACACTTGGCTCGTTCGGGTACTGGCGCAGAGACCGTGCTGGGCGGCTCGTTGCGCTTACCCGGGTCTTGCGTTTTCCCTTCACAGTCATCAGCGTCCATAGCTGTTGCAGTGACCTCTTCATGCTGTTGCTCTCGGCTGCGTCTGCCACTGCGCTAATTTCCTTCTTGTGCTCACAGGGGCGGAGCTTTTCGCGTATGCTTCCGCCAGGCCTCCATATGGGCACTTCGGTGTTGGGCTTGCACGCACGCATCTGGCACAGGTGATGTTTTCACCTGACTTGAGGCTGTATCCAAAGCGGTGTGCTGACCCAGGTGGGGTCATTTTGAACAACCAACCTCTTTTTCCTGTTGGCTGTGCAACCACCTCAGTCTCCGTGCATCCTTGTTCGTTCAAGAACTGTTGCACTTCTTCGCTGGTCCAGGTCTTTGGGGCCCCCATGACCTTGGCTGGCTGGGCTTTGCCGCCTATTCGGAATGTGAGGCCACCTTGTGACTCCACATCCGGAGGGCTCTTCTGAGGTATTCAGCGGGGCCCTCATGCTCTTTTTGCGGCATCCATTCCACACCGGGTCTGTCAGCACGGCGTGTCAGCTGCTCCATGAAGATGCCGTCAGCAGATGCAGAAACTAGCAGCCCTGAGCTCGAGCCCTAATCAGCAGGAAGGACAGAGCGTTGCTCGATTTCAATTTGATTCCTTTCTGCGTGAAACAAAGTGTGTGTTGGTGTTTCTGGTACGGGTTGGCTTTCCGTTTTTCGAGCGCGTTTTTGTGTTTTAGACTGCTTTTCGAGCGCGTGTTTTTCGAGCGTGTCCAATTCTTGTTTGAAGACATACGCGGAGTCTTGCCAGGTACTACAACAACTTGAAAGCAGTCCGCGCCATCACTCACTCTGGAGACGAGACGGCGGGCAAGCCCACGGGCATCCAGGCACGTGTTGTGTTTCGCCGCATGCGGCGAACCCCCTTTCGAAGTCCGCGCGCCTGCGTGGGTGCGTGCGTGCGTGTGTGGATGGCTGGGTGGCTGGGCGGCTGGGTGGGTGCACGGATGCGCGCCGACTTGGGTAAATGCATTGCGAAATCAGAAGGAGGACCGCCACTTTCTTTTTCATTTTGAGTCCCGCCCATTTAATTTGGGTTTGGGGCACCCTCCAAAATCATTGGTGGATATTCGTCCACGTGTGCAGTAAATGATGTCCATCAAAGGCTCCGCACTTAAGACTATTACCAACTTGAGCTACATTCAGTATTGCTCAAAAGTCCCGGCTGACGTTGGATCTTGGCGAGCAGCCCTGTTGTTTTTTTGGTGGGTGTGCCTGATGCAACCCCTCGCAGAAAATAATGGTAACTATTGACTCTCCCGACTCACAAGAAGGTTTTGATCGCAAAGCGTGATGTGAACACCCAATTGCGTGATTTGCACGGAGCTCGGGATTTGCAACTTCGAAACGCATGGACTGACCTTTGGATGTTGAAACGGAGACTGGAAGGAACCCCCCAACCACAAGGTTCTACAAGGAGGCCTGCGGACCAGCATGACTACTCTTGTGTTTCTTGAATTGTTTGGGGCCATACAGGAGCTGTCGGTTGCAACTCCAGATTAGTGCATAGCAATACCTCGCACACACAGTACCAAAGTGCGTGTCACACAAGTAGTTTTCAACCCCAGCACATGCTATGGAACTGCTCACCAAGCGAAAGGATCAGGATGTTAGGATGTTTGACAGTGCCCTCATGAGCAAGGGGTTGAATCATTTTATGATCACCACAACAAGTGTCGTTAGAAGACTCTCCCACCACTTGTGGGGTCATTTTCCAGAGCTGGAAGCACCGAAGCACTAGCAATTAAGTGTATTAACTGGCCTTGCAGCTCGCAGAATGACTGCAACGGAACCTTCTGGAGCCCCCGCCGTCTACCTTGCTTCTGACTGGATGCACCCCTTACACATAGCGTAAAGGGTTTGCCCAACCCCCGTAGATTCGCACAACTCCGTGGTTGGGTTCTCTCACTTTGGCTGACCAGTTTTTGGCAATCGCAGATGTCCTTTCCTTCGCAAATGTTCGCTAGTCGTTTTTGGGTTTGCGCATGTTCGCCTGATCCATTGTGGGATACCCGCAGCCTGAGCAAACGTCTTTGGCCTTGAGGTAGGGAGGTGCATATAGCATTGGAGCTGCTCAAAGAGAGACACGAGGAAGTGCCTAGAGGATCCTAGAGGTATAAGAAATGAAGGAACAAGTCGGAACAAGTATGAATAGGTTCTCCAGGCAAGTCGCTTGCAATCAAAGTTCAATGGCATTGGGATTGATTATCTATTTCTACCCGAGCTGTTTTTTCCAGCATCCTGTTGAGTGCGGGGCAGAAGTTTTCCCAAATGATACTGCGCCTATGCCTTGCAGGAATTGATATGGGCTAACCTGAACAAGCTTCCGCGCATCTGCCATTTTGAGCTGCCGGGTGCGTGGTCCTTGCTCTTCGCTCCTGTCTATCAACACGCGGTGGAACTTTTTTGGGGTGACTTTCAGAGGCAACCTCTTTTTGCGGCGCATGTCCATTTTATGGCAATGTATTTAGGCTAGGTCTTCTCGGGCGCAGTAGATGACACACGAATGCCTCTAAGAAGGTCATGATTCTCATCCGCAGCTGCGTGAGCTGCATGAGCTTGCAAGTTACATGATGTGCTGACTTTTCTTGCTTTGGTTGGTGTTGTGGTTTAAATATTGACTTGTGGTTGGTGTTGGTGATCTAAACATCGCATGGTGGTTGTTTCCTGATTTTTTGCAGGTCTTCTCTTGTTGGCGTTTGGTTGTCTGAACTACAACTCTTTGGTCAGTGTTGGTTGAAACACCGCTTGTTCAATTTCATTGTCATTTTTTAGGCTGTGCGTGGTGGTTGTAGCGTCACGTCAAGATTTGCAACTGAACCCATGACCGGACCTTCTTTTAGTCAGTGTTTGTGGTTCAAATGTCACCACTTGTGAGTGGGTCTGTGTTCAGAGATCCCCAACTTTTAGTGCGATCTGAAATGACCTTTTGCTGGGCATAGATCGTTGAACGACGTTGTGTTTGGTGGTTTACAAATCACATCTTTGCTACAATTTGGCTACATTTTGCTGGGCTTTGGAGACTTGAGCGGCACCTGTTGGTTGGTGGTCGTGGTCAACAACATTTGGCTGGTGTCGAGGGTTGAAACAGCAACGTATTGGCTGCGTTGCTCGGTCTACAGATCTTCACCTGGTTGCTTTTGGTGGTTTGAACATCAGCTACCAGAAATAGCGGCACATAGGAAGCAAAGAAATAGCGGCGCTGCAAAACACTACTAACATCACTATATAAGACACATGTGCAGCATAGGTTACACACACATACACGCACATTTGTCTGTCA